GGTGAAAGCTCAATGGCTCTTTCATTCAAAGAAATTTTGGTCAAATTCTGCATTTTTTAAGAACTGAAGTTTTCCAAACTGTGTGAAGTCGCTTTCCTTGCGATCCTTTAAAAACCGCAATATAGGATGAGGCGGCGTCTTAACTTTGTGAGCAGAGTGATGTGAAAAGGCTGTTGCTGGCACCGTTTGCCTTGGTTAGAGGGGTTGCTGGTGGGTTGAGGGTTTATTTAAGTATATTGCACCAACAGTGTGTTTCAGTTCTTCGCTTCGCCCTATATTTGAGTCACAGGGTGGCTCCACCAGCTAATAAAGCCCCACGTTGCATCCCCCTGCGTGGGGAGTTCCCCACGAGGGAGGTGTGAACGGTAGCGAGGCCGAAGGCGGCTGCGCGGGGAGCTCCAGCCCTCGCTGCCGGGGCAGGAACGGAAGCGGGAAGGAGCCCTGCCAGCGCGGAGCCCTTGGATCCCGCTGGGAAGCGCTGCAGAAAGGGCTCCCTGTTTCGGAAACTTCATCTCTTGCTCCTGTCCCCACCCAGCGCTGGTTCCTGAAGCGGGGAGAGAAACTTCATCCCTTCGTCCTGCCGCCGACAAACCTTTCCTCCTGGTTTAGGTAGCAATTATGTGATTGTTGTTTTTACGATGGTCTTCTGGGAAAGGCTTTATTGCCCGTCTTCCTGCCAGAGGAAAGCCTTGAAAAGCAGCAGAAATAAAAACGATGGTTATTACCAGCTCCACAATGTTCTGCATAGTAATCCCGTCGTGAGAACTCTGTCTGATGGTGCTTGGAAAATAATTTGAGCCTGTTCAGAAATTTCAGCGTGCTGCAGAGTGAAGCAAGCGCTGCTGCTCCCCGTGCAGAGCCTGCCAGCATGGAAATAATGTGGAGGTACCAAATGCAGCCATGGCAAAACTGACTCGCTTGTAATAGCCTATAGTATTGCATCTAGGATAAATGCAGGGCTGCTTGCTGCAAGGAATGTGCATTCCCTATCTGGAATGCTTACAAGGGACCTGGGTAGATGCTTGGCTCTGAACACCTTTAATTCTGCCTTTCAGGAAAAGCACGGATGAAAATCCTCCGACTTTATTACCAGAAATTCTTCCTGGAGTAAATGGCTGTTGTTGCAGTATATTGAGTGTTTGTTTCTTCCTCCTCTGAATCATCAGGTGCAGCAGCAGTAACCAGTGGCCGGAGGCGCTCCCGGGGTCGGTGCCGGTGTTAGGCAGGTCCTGTCCTTGCTGGCGCAGGCTCCTCGTGTCCGTGGAGGCTCCTGATGCTGTGGGAGATGCGGCAGGTTAGAACAAACCTGCTGGCAGATGGGGCGAGCTCTGCCCCTCTGTCACAGCCACAGAGGTGATAAAGTGCAGATAAAGTCTTCCAGGGAGGACAGAGGGACAAAGAGGACTAAAACCCCAAACCAAAGCACCCTTGGGAGGTTGAGTGTTGAGGGCGCTTGGCGGTATCTTGTACAGATTGCCCTGGTTTTGTGACAGCCACCAAGGGTTTGTTTTGACTGTTCCTGGCCATCCCACAGAGGCGGTGACCGCGGTAGGTGCTTGTAGCCCAAGGACACAAGGGGCTGGTGGCACCGGCCGAGCTTGCTGAAGGTCCCTGCGTAGGCTGGGCTGTGACTTCGAGCTTTATTAAACGTGTGCTGGGATATTAAACGCGGCTCCCAACCCTGCGTTGCTGCTGCTTGTCCCGAGTGACCTGCTCCTCCACGGAGATCCGAGCGGAGGCTGCGATTATTGGCACGAGGTCACCAAATCCTGCAGCTAGACCCACAAAGGCAGCCCTCCGAGCAGGCTGGGACTGCTAAATGAGGCTGTGACCAGCTAGAGCGGTGACACCGGCTCCATGAAGGCCACGCTGGCGCTGTCCCCCGCGGCCCTGCTGAGCTGTCACCCGGGTCCCTCTCCTGCCTGACGAGTGAGACTGGTTCTAACGATCCCCGTTAATGACGGAGCGGTGAGGCGGCAGCTCTGCTCCCGTCTGGCCTCCTTCCGCAACCCCAGGACCTTGTCGCTCGCCCGAGTTTGCCAGTTCATCAGCTTCGTGGCTTTATGGGCAGCAAAATAACTTCATTAAAAGGATCGTGGAGCACCGACCAGCTGTGGGATTAGTCAGCGCAGGAATGAGGTGGCCAGCAGAGGTGTTTGGGAATGTGGTTTCATTCTGTCTAAGATCTGAGATCGCCTCTGTGCTGCGCTCCGCAAAGGGAAGGAAAAGCTTCTGCTGCCCCGGTGCGTTCACGAGCTGCGGAATGCTCGGGGGTCTCTCCCGGCGCTCGCCGTCTCTCCCGGCGCTCGCCGTGGTCCGCTCCGTGCACAGAGCAGTTCCTGTCATTACGGTGCCGTTCACCCTTCGGCACATTTTTTCTAGCATTGCTATTGCTGGCCAGAGCGAAGGTACTCGGCCTTTCTCCCCTGCTTCCTGGTTTGTTATTGCTATTATTTTTGGTGCATAACCAAGCATGACTCCGGTACGTGATCCTCGGACAACAGAGCCCAGAGCAGTTGATTTTCCCAGAGCTGGGGTCCCATCCTGGGCTGCGGGCAGGTTGTTCTGGAGCCGTTTGGGTTCCGGGCTCTCGCAAGCATCCTCGTGATCCTGTGCATTCCAGAGGTGACTCTGTGCCCTCCTCGCAGGGCGTTAAGCGCAGTAATGTGCTTGTTTGTCTGACCTTGTGGTTGATGCAGAAAGGGGAGAGTCAGCCGGTGGCTCACGGTGCAGCCGGCCTGCAGGTGCACTGTAATTCCCCAGCTCACCAAGGAGGAGTGCTTATTATTGCTTTATCATCTTAGAATGTGGTAATTATGCCAGATTTAAAAAGGTAGCTGTACAGCGAGCACCAGTGCGAGTTCCATCCCTGCAGCTGACGTGAAGGCAACCCTGCAACCGTGTGTGTTTGAATATCTTCTGACAGATCTATTTTGAGCTCATCGGGCCTATTGTTAACACACGAGTTACGCAATGGTTTAGTAGTAGTATTTAAATACTTAAATATTTTAACTAGGAAGTTCTCGTAGCGCCTGCGAGCCGGGTGAACACCGTGTGCACGGTAATGACGGGGCAGCCGCAGAGCGGAGCTCCGGGCCCGAGCCGGGCTCCTGGGAGAACCTGCGGAGCCCGGACTCTGCCCCGGCCTCTCCGCTCCCGCGGGAGGCGCCTCGGGAAGCCTCCTTGGTCCCCGCGCCCATCCGGGAATGGCTTTGAGGAAGATTCATCCGGAAGGTGCATTTCACTCTGCCCGGGCGGCGCTGCGCGTTGGAAATAAGGCTTGGGGAAGCTCTTGGCGTTTTGCTCTTGATGTGCATGTAATTCCCAAAGGATGCAGAACTCCAGTGCATTTGTGCTGCTGCGGGAGCTTCTCCCTCTGCACCTGCCCTCAGGATAGAGCAGCCGGCCCCGCTGCAGCTTCCTGCGTTCCCCGTCGGAAGGAGCGTGAATCTCCGCGCAGCTTCAGGGCCCCCGTGGCAGATTGATGTATTTGTTATATAGGGAACCAGAAGTAGTTCAGAAACTTACCCTATCAAAATCACATCAGTGCATGCCAAGTAAACTTGTAATAGGAAAGAAAAGTTGCCTTAAGAACAGGGCAAACCAGAAGCGTTTCCACTGAAGCACTCGTGCAGCTCCTCTGGTGTTGTGCTTTGAGCTCTTTGCCGGGTGTCTCTTCCCTGTGTTAATTTGGGGCGCGGAGCTGCGTTAACAGCTGTGCTGTTGCACCGTTTCGGTGTGAGCTCTTGCCTTGGGCCTTTGGAGGGCAAGGCGGTGGCACCTTGGATTTCCGCCCAGGGTGCGGGACGGAGGTTTCCCGCTCCGTGGCATTCCATACGTCCTCCTCCCGCGCTGCCGTGGCCGGGAGGGCGCAGCGAGTCCCGTGGGAACGCGCTGCCGAACAGGAGCCCTGCGTCCTGCCCGGCTCTGCTTTCCTCGGAGCAGACTAAACAGGGCAGCGTGCTCCTCGCTGGAGCTCCAACGCTCGCGTTGGCACGGAGTCACTGCCGAGACGCGCTTGTAAATGGTGTTTTTTTTCTTTGTCCCCATTCATTTAAGGCTTTCACAAACCTGGTGTCTGCATCATTTTCTAGGCCACTGTAGGGGAGATGAAGCCTGCAAGAGAAAGATGAGTATTAGCTAACATGCCTCTCTAGTTACTATTTTTTAAAAAAA